GAATTTCCCCTCTTGGCCTGGTTCCTAAAAAAGCTCCTGGGGAATTCCGTCTCATACATCACTTGTCTTTTCCGGAAGGTTCTTCTGTAAATGACGGCATTCCTCGGGAGCTATCTTCTGTACATTACGCTACTATAGATGACGCGATTAAGAAAATCAGCTCATTAGGGGCTGGGTGTTTCCTTGCAAAAACTGACATTAAGTCGGCTTTCCTCATAATACCTCTCCACCCTCGAGATTTTGACTTGCTCGGTTTAGAATGGGAAGGTAAATTCTATTTTGATCGTTGCCTTCCAATGGGTTGTTCGTCTTCGTGCAACATATTTGAGACATTTAGCACGGCGCTCGAATGGATTCCCACAGCCAAATTACAAGCTTCCGCTGTCATGCATATCTTAGACGATTTTCTGCTTTTAGCACCTTCGCGAGACAAGTGTCATAGGGATTTAGATAACTTTATCAAATTGTGCAACGAGGTCGGAGTCCCTATCGCAGATGAGAAAACCGTCGGTCCCGCGACCTGTTTACAATTTGCTGGGATCACTCTTGACACAATTAACATGCACGCCCGTTTGCCGGAGGATAAGCTCGCACGTTGCCGGGGGTTGTTAACGGAATTCTATAACAAACGCAGTGTAACCCTTAAGGAACTGCAGTCGCTTATAAGGCTATTGAATTTTGCGTGCGCGGTTGTCCTTCCCGGTCGTGCTTTTCTCCGCAGAATGATTGATCTGACTAAAGGTGTGCGTAAGCCCTATCATCACATTCGTCTCACGAGACAGTGTAAGGAGGATATTTTGTTATGGCTCAATTTTCTAAATTCGTTTAACGGGAAATCTTTTTTCTTATCTGCGAAGTGGCTCACATCTAGTACCATTAAAATTTATACAGACTCGGCGGGCTCTCTAGGCTACGCCGCAGTCCTAAGCAAACGTTGGTTTTACGGACATAGGCCGGATAGTTGGAAATCTCTAAATATAACCATACTAGAGCTTTTTCCTATTGTTTTGGCAACCGAGATTTGGGGCGACATCATGCGCAATCATTGCATTGTTTTCTTTTCGGACAATCACGCTGTGGTCGATATCATCAATAAACAGACCTCACGTGAACCAAAAATCATGGTCTTAGTTCGCAGACTCGTGCTAAATTGTCTTAAACATAACATTCTTTTCAAATCTAAACACATACCAGGCATTTTAAACCGAGAATGTGATTTACTGTCTCGCTTACAGGTAGACAAATTCAAGCTTCTTGCGCCACACGCGGACGTTCAACCCATCCCGGTTCCGAGCAGCCTACTACCAAGTACTACCGCAGAATTGGAAGCTAACTTAAAACGCTTAATGCACTCTGCTATATCACCGGGTTCACGGAAAACGTACGAACAAGCATGGAATCATTTCTTAGATTTTCCCACCCGATACTGCGGCACAGCTTCCCCACAGCTTCCACTGAGTGTCAGTGATATAGTACTTTTTGTGGCCCATTTGTCGGCCAAGAAATTGGCACCTTCTACAATTTCGACTTACATTTCCGCATTGACCTATGTCCATAAAATTGGATCTTTCTCTGATCCCACCAAAGCATTTGTTGTACACAAGATTATGACTGCTCAAAGCAGGCTCTGCTCGAAACCGGACATACGGTTGCCTATCACTCGCTCTATCTTATATAAATTGGTGCAGGCTTTAAATCACACCATCACGCCCGCCTATCAGATTTTATTATTCCAAACAATGTTTCTTGTGGCTTTTTATGGATTTTTTCGAGTGGGTGAACTAACGACCAAGACCCCTGAGCGGCGACATTCCGTTCTCCAGTTTCAGTCACTGTCTTTTCTAAAATCACGCAATGAAGTACAGGCCGCCAAACTTGTCATCACGGATTATAAACATAACACAACCGGGCGTCCTTTTTCCATAATTATTCACCGAGAGTCGACCGTACACTGCTGTCCTGTTGAGTTTTTACTACGCTGGTGCCGGATGAGAGGATCCAATTCTGGTCCACTTTTTTGCCTAGCTGACGGCTCAGCCGTCAAAACGAAGGTCTTTACGCGGCAGCTCAAAGGAGCCCTTGCTTTTTCTGATTTGGACTGTTCCAGTTACAAATCGCACTCTTTTCGCATTGGTG